GTGAACGTTATGGAAGCTTTAGAAGCTATGAGCAAAACCAATAAGAGCTATTATAGATGGCATGGTCTTGGAGAACTGCCTCAGTTAATGGCTTTTTTGCAGGTGTCAAATTCTTTCATGAATATTAATTGAGGTGTCATTGCTTCTTATATAAGTGGACTTACAGTACTTGTTTCAAGTTTGGCTTGAGAAGTTAAAATTTGGCTTAATGTAAAATCTAAGTCTTTTTGAATTTCTTCAACTTTTTCATATTTTATATCTTCATCAATTTCATTCAGCAACAAGCAGAAGAGGAAAATCTTTTGAATAGGATTCGCCGAGTGGAACAAGCGATGTGTAGTTTTACTGAACTGTCTAGTAACAGTAAGCGGTCGAATGGTGACATCGTTGGTGAATGTTCATTTGGATCTTTTTTCGGAAATGTCTTTTGTGTTTTAACCAACTTAATTACTTTCTGAAAGTTCTGTTTACTTAGTAATAATTGTGTAGGTACGTTGGTCAGCAGCAGAACAGGAGCACGCAGTGAGTCGTCTGAAAATCTCGCTACGGCACAATCAGATGTGCATGGTTGTAACAGTCCTCCTAGTCTTCCGAAGACTAATAGTGCTAGGGATCGAAATAGCAAGAACTCTCTAGCGCAGCTTTGTAGACGTTTTTTGATGGTGCTGCTGTGCAACCCGGTACTTATTGTCACTTTTACTTTCGGTTCTTTTTTAATGGTCAGCTTATTTTTGTCCATAATTCAAATTTTATGTGATTATTTTTTTGTAAGGCTTTGAAAGTCAAAATTTGAAAGTTTTTCATTTTATCAGACATTATGTTAATGAAAACCTTGTTTTTCTTCTTTTCGATGGATCAATTATGTGTTTCTAGAAGGATATGCGGCGAGTTAGTTTGGATGTTGCAAGTACGGTGCTGATAAAAGACCCAGAAAGTGAGGGCTTTGAGCCACCTAGCAGAAGTAATTTTCTACATTGCATTTGAGTTTGACTTTACTAATTTATCTCCTCTTTAATTTTCGTATTTACTTTTTTTTTTTTAGGTCGTTGTCGGAGGCTTTATGATATTGCCAACGTTCTTGTGGCCATGGGTATCATTAAAAAAGTACATTATCTTTTTGGGACAAAAAAAATTCCTTTATTTGTTTATTCCGGGCCGGAGCCGGAAGGTGAGTTTGATGGAAACTTTTACTAAATCATTTTGGAAGCATTTTGAAAGCTTGTTATTACGCTTCAACGTTTTCTACCCCTTCTGTAAGATTTTTATGGAATATGAGGTGGCTGTCTTGCACTACTTACTAGATATGCCTCACTTTACAAGTCTACAAATATTTTTACTTTTTAAACGTTTGTTGTTAGAATGCTTAATATAGTAAGTTACAGCAGATGCAAACTGTTTTTTGGAAAAGGATGGAAATAAAGAGAATTTGGTTAGACGAGCTGCGGCAGAGGGAGGTGAAGGAAGTTCAGAAATTCCGAGAAAGCGTCCCAGTTATGTTGACCTAAGGGGTTCTAACAATATAGCGCAGAAGTCAGAGAAGAGTTTTGTGAAACAGAAGTATGTTGTTTTTCGCAAACACGGCTTCCTGAAGTTCTGTAAGGTACACTTCCGTGCATCTTTGGTATGACTATATGATGCATCCTTTTTCCAGATCAGACCTCGATTTACTGGCAGTTGCTTCAGAGCAAAGAAGGAAAGAATTTATTGAGACTGAAAAAGTTTCCCAAAAAGCTCGTGAATTTGAAGATGAAAATACTGCTCCATTAAATCAGGCAGTAAAAATGGTGCGGATGTCTTCTGGCACCGTTATTGTGAAACCAGAACCGAAAAAGGTTTTTCTGGGCTGTGTCTTGTGCTTTCCTGATTTCTTTGTCTGATTTCTCGAATATTGTTGAAATTTTTTTTATTGCAGCTGGTAAAGCCTGAAACTTGTTCTTCTGCAGTGGAGGTGACTGAAAGTTCTCCAGAGCGTGGAAAGCGAGTCATTTTGAAGTCGTCAGAGAACTGTCATCTATTCGATCCCAAACAACCACATGCTTTTCAGAAAATTGTGAGGTTTCATAGGCGTATTTTACATTTACTCAGATTTAATATAGGGAACTTACGGTCTTCAGTATTTGTTTTGTATTATTGTTTGCTTAAGGATAATGTCGTTTTAGACTGTTTTGTAAAGCGAAAGTCTAACGTTTTAGATTTTTTTGACACTTACATTTTCCAGGAACAGTTCCATCCCAGCTTAAATTTTGGTTATTTGCCTGGTTCACCTCTTCTTACTAATCTGAATCTCCGGCAAACTAATTGTCAATCGTTAGGAATCCTATCAAATTATCCTGCTGTACAGGCTTTTGCATCTGCGTATTCTGTAAATGCGTTACTTGCGGGTTGGTGACATGTTTCACGCCAATATTCCTATTTTTAACAGCCATATTTTTCTCGTTAGTTCGCAGGATTTTCATGCAATTCTTGGGGTGTAGTTCAGTGGCTTTCATGAAAAATTAGCTTTTAACTTTATAATCGCAAATCACTCATTATTTTCAGCACCTGTTACTGCGTCTGCAAACCGAACACAGCCCTACACTGTCTTACAGCCTAAACGTACTGAAGGTGGAATATCGTATGTTTTCAAAAATTCTTCTGTTTAGTTGTACTCTACCTCCCAAAGTGACGGCGACTAGCGTTTTTAATCTTAAATATGTGAATATTCGTAGTGGTGTGCTCATTGAAGTTTGTATTAAATAGTCCTGTTAAGTCGTTTTTTTTAGTTTTCTTTTTTTTTTTTTGTTTTAGCTATCTTTTGGGATTATAAATTTTTTTGTGTTGTTTTGTTGAGTTATGGTCTCCTCAACCAGTTTTTTGGTATTCAGACGTTATTACGTCCTCTCAAATCTGTTCTTAAAACTGTTTTTCCGTTTCTCATTGTTTTTTGAAATGATTCCTAATGTTTATCTTTCATTTTTTTTTATTCTGCGCGTTATTTGTTTCTATAAACCTTTTACGCAACTATTAAGCCATTTATTTTTTTATTTTACCGCTTTTCAAGTCTTAAAGGACAAGGGGGTGCTTCATGAAGCACGGAGTTCCATGCACATTGTTAGTTGCGTCACAAACAGCTTTCGGTTCTTTCGAAAGATGTTAGGGAATAATGAAGAAATGCTGTAACACGCATAAGAAAAAGTGGTTTAGAGGCATCGGTCATTTACAATTAATAATCACTTTGAGGTTTTGCTCTATATAAACAAAGCGCCGGCACTTTTTGATTAGGTGCGAACATTCACTGCTTCTATTACTGACATGTGAGTTACTCTCTTTAATTCTGAGTCGCTGGTTTGGAGGCGCGTTGGAGATCATTTGTCTTTTGTTAGTAACAGACAAGTTTGTTGGTTGAATTCAGTATGCGTCTTTACCAGTTCAAAGGTTCTCAGTGGAGTTTTTTGTTGCTAATGCTGTTATATTCAATTTAAAACTATCATGGTGCTTTTAGAAAAAGTCGTGCCGTGCTTGGCGAGATCTCGCAGACGTATAGGCTGAATAAGTGATTCTGCACTAAAACAGGAATTTCGAGGAACTTAGTTATTTAGAGCCCCTCTAAAGCCCGAGGCGCTCCTTTTCAGCAAGGCGACATCAAGTTGTTGTACTGAAGGAGATGCTTATTTCAATAAACTTTTTATTGTTTTCGGAATTCTTAAGTTCTTAATTATAATTGTTTTATATCTGCCAAATAGTTCACATCTGCATTTTTTCTTCCTAGTTAATAAAAGCAGTTTTTTTGGAGACTATGTATAGTTTGAGTTGCGAAGTATATTGTAAATTTGCATTTGAATGTCTTTGTTTTTTTTAGGGTTTCCTAAACTTCTCGTTAGAAGCTGTATGAGTTTTGTATGTAATTGTTTTCTTTAATATCGTGTTATAATTTTGTTCGTAGTCAGCTTTTGTTGGAGACGTTAATGTCACTGTCGATTTTTCCCACTTATGTAGTTAATATTAGTCGTGAACCTTAATCTCCTAATTTTAAATTCTTTTGCTGTAACGTTTTCATGGTTTTCATTATAATCTAAATTATCGTGAACAATGATGGAGTGATTTCTGCTCAATTTTCCTCTGGTGGAAAACTTCAACTTTATATGCATCGTTGGGAGCGATTGTTTGGTTGAGAATTTAGGGTTGGTAATTACGTGTTTAATTTAATGTGTTGTGAGCTGCGTTTCTTAATTATCGGTTGGTGGTCTGCCGTTGTGCACTACGGAAGCCGATGATATTGGTAGTTTAGTGTTTTCCTCGGTAGGGTTGGACTGGTCGGTGAGTGACCGGTAGTGTGATTTGTGCTTTTGAGATCTTCAGCGGACTGAGGAGGGATTGCAAAATATTCTGAACAGTATCTGTGGGCTTTAAGTGTCGTAACG